ATTTTTTCTTTTCGAAATGTCATCACAAAGATAACATTTAAGAGGCCATTTGACAACATTGTTTTTCGGCTTATAAGGCTTATCAGTCAATGTTTTCACCAAACACGTAACTTTTGCTTTTGCGTGTTGAATTGTGTAATAAGTAGAAAAAGTAAAGTTGTAGTTACTTTTCTGACTGTATTGGCTGAAGTTACTGTAGATGACCATTTTAGCTATTTTTACATAGAATTTTTTCTTTATTTTATCAATAAAACATTTTTTAATTTTTTCTTCTTCTTAAATCAGCAGAATCAGCCAATGTAGTCACTTAATATAAGTTAGAACTTCATAAATTTCAGCATAATAAACCAAATCAGCCGATTTTCATGCTACCAAACGAGCTCTAAATATGCTACACTCTAAGTTTACATAATGGGAAATATAAATTTAATTCTGTAATTGAAGTGCTTTAGTAAAAGATATTAGGACCTGTTTACTAACAGAGACAATTCTCTGTTTTCATTTTCTGTTTTCAAGTCTCCAGTTTTCTGTTTTCATTTTCCATTTTTTTGTTTTCCAAATCAGAAAACATGTTTACCAGAGATTTTCCATTTTCCATTTCATTTTTACAAGAAAACATTGACTAATATTTGGAAAAGAAATGCACAATTACAAACATTTGAAATAACACAAAAAAATAACATATATGTTCATCAACGCTGAAAGTTCAATAAGTGACATATAAAATTAGAGTGATCCATTTTCACCTATACTTTCCACCGTCTTAAATATCATATCATCTTGCTTGTACTCCATGAACAAATGGACATTCCTATCATCTTACTCATACTCCATGAATTTAATGACAATTCTTATTGCTGGCCAAGAAACAACTGTAGCTTTCCTTACTGGGGCTGTTTTTCTCCTAGCACAAGTATTCAAAAGGCTAAAGAGAAATGAGCATAAGTTGCTGGGTTGGTGAAGGTGGAATCATACAGAATAAACCTTATTATCATCAAATAAGCTCGTCTCCATAATATTGATACAGAAGTTAAAAATTGCATCTCGAGACACCTGGTTTGGGAGAATTGCTCCACTTAAAGTTAATACTCTTGAAAGAAAGCAGAATAATGAAGCATCTATTTGTAAGCTATCACTAGCAACTTATTTTTAGTTTCTTAGTTTAATGACAATCTAACGTAAACAGTTTCTGCCCTGCAATCTTCATTTGGAAAGATTATCTTACACTCCGTAACTAATATGGCCTGAAAATATATTTTCCTCCAAAGTGTGTTTTTGGATGTAGCTAACAGACAGGTTAAATACACCCTTTCTTATCACATCACTACATGAGCGCATCAGAATAAGAATAGAAACTAAGACCTTGTTTAGTAGGGTAAATTTGACCAGAAATTGCTTTAAGTTGCTGAAATGGTTGGTAAAAAATCTTATAAGTCAATAAAGTAGCTACAAAAAACCACCAAGTCAAAGCAGGAGCATACATATCCACCATTGGAGCTTGAAAGTTAAAAAAACAGAGAATTTCCGATTCTTGTCAAAAATCAGTTTTATATAATGGTTCATAAACATAAAACTGTGTAAAAAAGAGAACTATAATCAATTACTTGGAAACATTTTTATTAGGGAGTCAAACCAGCACATTTAAACAGTTTTATATACTGATTCAGAAGAGATACAAATCCTATGTAACCGTGCAATGATTCATTAACACCTATCAAGAATGCCAACAATTAAAAAAATAAATAAAAGCTCAATTGGCCTTGAAAATGCTAGGAAAGTCAGATGGATAATGACTTCAATATAAGGAGGCTCCACACTTTTCTTTCTTCTCAAAGCACTAAAGCAGAGAAAGCCCTCACAAAAAACAAGTATGGGATGAACATTGCAAGGATCATAGCGTTAAAGTCCCATCACAGCTTTTGCCCAATAGTTTTGGGCAATTTATTGACGAGTGAGTGGCTATAGAAATCAATATAGATATGAGTGAAGCATATAGAAAAGGGGTTGATAACCATTCAAACAGATATGAGTGAAGCACAGATAATCCAACACCCATTGATTTCCCAAGGGAATAACTGCAGACTAAGGCAGATTTTAATAAACAATGAAATAAAACGTAAGAATAAAATTCACAGCTAGATTAGGCAGAGTGAAAATTCATGAATTTCAGGATTCCAATGGTATTGAGATTTTCAACAAGGCAAAGTGAGAATTCCATTTAATTTGAGAGCTTACCTTTAACTCGTTGACAGAACACGAGACACCTGAAGAATTGGAGTTCCTGTGGCGTCGGGGTCAGCTTCTATAGCAGCGATGAATATTTTGTGAAGCTGGAGCCTGATTGACATTTGAAGAAGTGCATCGATGGTCTTCAGGACAAAGCTAGGAGATGTAGACTGTTTGGAGAAGCCGTGCAATATTTGGCGACATCGACTATAATAGCTACGGAACGGAAGAAGTAAAGAGGGTAGGTGGGAAGAAGGTAGGGCACCTGAGGGAGAGCTGAAGCTTACAAGTAAAGAAGGTTGTGGGAGGAGGGCGAGCGAGTAAAGACATGTTTTCTAAATCCTGAAAACACCTAAAAGTCACTTTTCCATTTTAGAAGGAAAAGGTGAAACATGTTTCATATTTTTCATTTTGAATTGTTAGGTAAACACGTTTTCTAATTTTTTTTATCTCCAGTTTTCTATTTTTTTTCAAAAAACATAAAATACTTTTGTTAGTAAACAGACCCTTAGTATTTTAAAGTGTAAAAAATAACAAATCATAGGAACATTATTTGAAAATCAAAAGGATATTTTTTTTCAAAACAATGCTTGATGTACCCACTCTTATACTCACCTTATACACACCATGTTTGTGAAGTGTTTTTTCCTGTGAACCGGGATTCACAGACAAGAAAAAAATACTTCACAAACATAGGTGGGTACAAAAGTGGGTATAAGAGCGCGTACAAACATCATTTTTGTTTTTTTCAAGTTGATGGGTCTGATACGAAATATTTAGGGCTTGTTTACTAACAGAGATATTTTCCTGTTTTCTACTTCTGTTTTTCGTTTTCCAATTTTCTGTTTTTATTTTTCAGTTTTTCTATCTCCAATTTTCTGTTTCTATTTTTTAGTTTTCCATTTTCAAATGTGAAAACATGTTCATCAATTTTTTTCACACAGTTCTCTAATTCCACACCCATGACCCCTACACTCTACCCATACTCCACCACAACCCTTCATACCCACCCATACCTACTCGTAGGGGTCGGGTAGGGAAGTTATGGGTGGGGGTGGGGTAAGGGGTATGGTCGGGGTGGGGTGGTAAGGTCTAGGGGTAGGGGGTTGGGTGGGGGTAGTGGGTGGTTAGGGTTAAGGGTGGGGTAGTGGGTAGGGTAGGGAGTTGGGATAGGATGGCGGCAGGGTGGGGTCGGGACCAGGGTGGGGCCGGGGTAGGGAAGGGGTAGGGTGGAAGTAAGGGTGGGGGTAGTGGGTGGGGTTTGGGGTTGGGGTAAGGTAGGGGTAGGGTAGGGAGTTGGGATAGGATGGCGGTAGGGTGGGCCTGGGATCAGGGTGGGGCTGGGGTAGGGAAGGGGTAGGATGCGGTGGGGGTAAGATGGCAGTAAGGGTGGGGGTAGTGGGTAGGGTTTGGGGTTGGGGTAAGGTAGGGGTAGGGTAGGGAGTTGGGATAGGTGGGCCCGGGATCCGGGTGGGGGTAGGATGGCGGTGGGGCCGAGGTAGGAGGCATGTGGTAAGGGGTAAGGTAGGGGTAAGTGGTAATATACGAGGGGTAGGGTCGAGGTGGTAGGGGGTGGCGGTAGGGTAGGGTGGATCGAGGTGGGATCGAGGTGGTAGGGTAGGGTGGATCGGGGTGGGGCCGAGGTCGGGGCATGTGGTGGGGGCTGGGGTAAGGTCATTATAGGGAAAAATGGATGCGCGGGGTGGGGGTTTGGTGGGTAGGGTAGGGGTAAGAGGTAAGGTACGAGGATGGAGGTACCGGAATGGAATTGACATCGGAGCGGGACCGGACCCACCACTAGGTGTAAGTATGCAAATTCATTGCAAAGGCACTGTAGCATCTGCGTTTTCCAAATTTGGAAAACTAGTAAAAGTCACTTCTCCAAATCATTAAGGAAAAGAGAGACATGTTTCATTTTTTCCGTTTTGGAAAACGATTTGGTAAACGCGTTTTTCTTTTTTCCTTTCTCCAGTTTTCCAGGAATTTCTTTGGTAAACACGTTTCCTGTTTTCTGTTTTCCATTTTCCAATTTTCTGGAAAACTGGAAAATATTTCTGTTAGTAAACAGGCCCTTAATATCTTTAGAAATTTTACAAAATCGAGTACTAATTATCTAATAAAATTGAGTTGAACTTTAGAAAACTAGTTTTATATAATAAGTGTCCTAATAAGTCTTAAGCCAATGAGTTATTTTATTGTTTATTTGTTCAAATAATGATAAATTATTTTAGATGTTTCTCCTTTTAAATCTTCCATTAAGTATGTAGTTTTACATAATGTAAGACTAAATTAATTTTGAAAATCAAAAGGTAAGGAAGAAGACCCATATGTTTAATTAAAGTATGAAATTTTATGCAAATATTATATACGCAGTATATAATAGAAATTTGGGAAAGTTCCCGAAATAGGACTAAAAGAGTTTGAAAATTCCAAAATAGGACTGACATGTTTTTATTCCCAAAATAGGAGTAATTACTGCCAAATTTAAAAAATACTGCCATGTTTGAAGTCTGGTACTGCCAAAACATGTCAGTAATTAGTCCTATTTTGGGAATAAAAACATGGCAGTCCTATTTTGGAATTTTCTAACTCTTTTAGTCCTATTTTGGGTAATATCTCTAGAAATTTTTGAAAGTTCGCGATCATCCCTGAATCCGTCCCAACCCTGAAGCCATCCTTTAAACACTTCTAGTTTTTTTTTAAAAAAAGGTGCAATGTTCAATTTCGCTTAAAATAAATGACCATGTATCGCTCTAAATGTATTTTAAAAATACCACAATACTTTATTCAGATCAATGTACACAATCACATAAGTTAATTATCATCTCATATCCTAGTAACAATTAAATAATAATAATAATAATAATAATAATAATAATAATAATAATAATAATAATAATAATAATAATAATAATAATAATAATAATAATAATAATAATAATAATAATAATAATAATAATAATAATAATAATATCATGTAGAGCTGTAATTGTGTTCACTGCCGGTGGACCCCCTTCATTCTTTCAGGGCTCCACAACAACTTTCCCAGTAGCATGTCCTTCAATGCTCTTAGCCCAAGCATCTTCAGCACTACTCAAACTATATTTCGAGTCAATGAAGCTTTTTAACTTCCCCTCCTTAACCAGCCCGACAAGATACTCTAAGTTGGCACTTTTGGGGGACAAAAGCAACGGCACCAATTGCTTCTTTGACAATGTGAGTTTCTTGACGGCAAAGGTCCACATTGCTTTCGGGCCCGGGGTTAAGTCTATCACCTTCCCGTTCTCACTCAGATTAGGCTCGAAAGTCGACCACGGGATGCCCGTGGCACAGTGGATGACCGCATCGTATTTTTTGCCCGAAGGGCTCTTGAGAGATGCTCCTTCAGGGGTTTTATAGTCAATGACCTCGTCTGCCCCTAAACTCTTCACGAACTCGATGTTTCGGGCCCCACATGTGGCAGTCACGTGTGTGTTCCCCAGCTTCGCTAGTTGGACGGCATAGTGGCCCACCCCACCAGAGGCGGCAGTCACAAGGACATTCTTCCTTGGGCAGCTGCTGCTACCATCAAGCTTGATCCCGGATGCATCCACGAGGGCCTGGTGGGCTGTTAGGCCTGCAACTGGAAGGCCCGCAGCTTCAGCAGCTTGTACCTCGGGAGGCCTTAAGGCAGTTAGGCTCTCTTTGGCCACAGCGTACTCTGCAAAACCACCTCCATTCTGTTTTCAAGCACGTAAAACATAATTGAACACATTATCACAATGAGTAGGAATAAAACTGTTGATGCCAATTTTAATTTTCCTAACTCTATAATTGCTAGTCGATAGGGCTATGTTTGGGCCTAGGAAGAATGCTATGAAAACGAAAGAGATTGTAAAGGGAATTTTATTTCCTTATGTTTGACAATACCTTAACAAATGTAAAGGAAAATGAATTATGATGTTTTTTTATATGTTTTGATTTCTTTGTATTTATATAAGAGAAATAAGTCAAAAATAAAATTGAACGTACAGTAAAGATTGAGTGGAGATAAAATTTATTGAGTTTGAACTAATGTTTTATGTTCCTTCATATTTTCTCAAGTTACAAATTTCTCTTACACTTTCTTACAAAATTGTCCCTATACAATCATATTGGGAGAATTTGACTTTGCTCTCCATTTTCAAAATCATTAATGTGTGTACCCCATCAGCCCAAAAATTGTGAAGGAATGAGGTGCAAAGTATTTTGGGGACGTATGCAAAAGTATTCTTTGATATTTATTTTCTTCTTCAAAGAATGATACAAGGGGCTAGTAAAAATGTGTCATACGGGGTATTATAATTAAGAAAGAATAATACGACTTTTAGACTTTGTGATAAAGAAAATATGGCTAGTTTGTTTTATCTTCTTTTTTAAATGCAGTCTTATCCCTATCAATTTGTGGTCCGTGGTCACAATTACATGTGCAATGGTGTGGGTGACAGTGTATATTTTTCCAATTTTACTACCTGGTCCCTTTTTGTCCATATATAAATGCAATCACTTTTATAAAAGTGAGATTCAATATAGTGCAGAGTTATATTTACGGACTTTCCCCTTTACAAAGGCTTAGATATTGCTCGAAGACACCTCTTCGATACAGTAAAAAAGTGAAATTGCATCTGGCATACTTGTGAAACAATCATCCATCCATGGTCCATGGCTTTCAAGATATTGTCATTGCCATTTCAAAGCCATTGGGGCAACAAACACTAAAATATAAATGAGTGAGCAAAAAAAGACTTACAAAATGACTGAGCATAGCCACAACTTTGTCACCAGCCTTGAAATTCTTCACACCGGACCCAATCTCCATTACTTCTCCTGCTATATCAGTTGCTGTTTCCAGGCAGAGGAAGACATATGTTTAAGTCAATCTAAACCTACACACTATACATTGATAAAATTCATAATTTGGATCATACCACTACTCGCTCAACAAGGTCATATTGCATATTAGTCGTGGCACACTAAGACTTCGAATATAATCAATTACTACGTAGCTGGTATTCATATTACTCATAATCTTATAAGCCATGTGTTTATCTTTACTACTTCAATGTGGTCAACTGGGAAGTTTTATACAGAGTATCTGTTTAGTTGGTCATTAGCAATTGGACTCCCTTAAGGCCTAACAAGCCCATGTGTTTATATTTAGTATTTTGAAGTGAGACTATCTGTACATTATGGTAGAGAAGTAAAATAGCACAAAAACTGTACGCAAAGTTATCATTTTTTCTCCTGTTAAGAACAACTGCATAAGAAGGAACACCATTGCAATTAAGAAATACCCATCAAAGGATGCTAGAACATGGAAATTTATCAAATGGAGATCTGAATGTGTTGAGACTAACCAGGTATGTAAGGGAATTTTCCGGGCAAAAGAGGGCGTAGCATGCCCTTTTGGATTTTCCAATCAATTGGGTTTATGCTTGTAGCGTCCATCTTTAGCAAAACCTCACCTTTACTAGGAGTGGGCACTGCAACTTCAACATGCTGCAAAACACAATGTAATGATGTATATGTGTCAAAGAGTTTCAACATCAAATACCTACTCTCTCTAAGTAGTCCCTATCCCTCAATAACTTTCACATTCACTATTTCTGTGGCCAGCTTAACAATTTTTAAATATGTGATTTTATATACGTAGTATCATATTTGAATTTATTTTTTTCACTTCAATAGAACGTTTAGTGTAATTTCTAAATAAGCCAATTATTAATACTAATTTAAATATTTTTTAAATAAATAATTTAATATGGAACTGGGGGAGGACTATACTTCCTACACCCTGACTCAATCTGTTATATTCTAATCATTCACTACATAACAAATGCATTTCTTCAAATAACAATGGAGCATACCTACTCAGTTAGCTTGTACCCCGACTAAGGGAATATTTGCAATTCTTTAAAAAAGTGATTTTTAAGTGATATTAGTGAAAGTTTTTAATAGTCAAAATTGGTAGTGTTTTAGAATAAAGTACGTTTGAAAAAGTAAAGGTTCGCGGTGTTTGGCAAAAAAAGTGATTTTTGTGTAATAGGAAAAGTGAAAAGCAGTTTGAAGCACTCCTCCACCGTTCCTAGCATTTAGCTTTAAATGTTTAATTTAGGCAGAAGTGTCACCTGAAAACACCTATTTCAGTTGTTTTTAAACCAAGAGCTGAAAAATACTTTTTTTAACTTTCAAACACTCCCTAAGCCGAGTAGGTACTAGGTAGCTTTTCGTTTACTTATTTGACTTACATGGAAGCTACCAAGTGCTTTACTTTCAGAAAAGTCACCAAAGTCAACTATTTCATCCAAAAAACTTACCGAAATAGGAATAGAGGCTTGGTGCATGCTACTCTCAGTCATATTCTGGTTTATATTGGGTTTCTAATAATAAAATCCAACATACAGTTCTATCCTGCTTTTCCTTGAAAGGAAATATATAACCTCAATGTCATTCCATCCCTGATCAAAATTCTCCAATTGGGACTTATGAGTATCAATTAATTCACACCAGTATTATTTTCTGATGATCTTTTAAACCCAATTGTCGTACGATCGTATACCTAGAAATGGTTTTCCTCCAATTAATTAACTTAAATTCTAGTACGCGTCTCAATAAACTGTAGAAACAAACGGATTACAGGAATAGAAAAGAAAAACAACAAGAATTTCTACAACATATGAAGAAGGGCTTATGATGAACATTAGGACTTAAGAAAATAAATAGTCAATCAATAATCCAAGCAACAATTTCGAACACACTGATTGGGGGCGGAAATTTCGAAGGGTATAGACGATGATAATACCTTCAGAGCAGCAGCACCGCCTCCATAACCTTCATATTGAACCGCCCGCATAAGCTTAATTCCAGCCATACGCGCATACGATAGATGTACAGAGTTTCACTTCTTCGCAGAAAATGTGGATTTCTTTATAGTGCGGAGGATATGGTTTTCATCTCCAAATAAATATCCGTTACCGCATTCTTGCTTTTTAAAAGAGGCATCAACCTTGGTTCAATTTAAAACGTAAAATTAGTAACTTTTTGGGTTGTTCTAGAATAATTGTCCCACTTTCTATTTTTAATAACATTTTGTTGTGCAAATACATTTTTTTCTCACTTACTTAACCCTCATTTTAATCTCCTTTAATCTAAACCCATTTAATTCTGTATCCACTACATTAATTACTCTCCTCGTTGATGCCCCATCTCTAGGTACTCGTTTACTTCACCGGTTAACCTCTTCCGTTACCCATTTACTTCTCCACCGCTAAACCTCTCTCATTCTATCACGGTTCGTCTTCCTCATCATCAACCTCTTCTCACTACCTTACAGATCCTTACTCCGATGTGCCGGATACTCCAGACGAACTTACTGATTCATACTTGCATGTGCTTGATACGCCTGCCCCTTACTTCGATGGGGTTGATACGGCGATAGAGGAAGAAAGGCGCCTTCAAGCCGTACGTCGAGGTGCAGAGACGGTGTTGATAATAATACTTCCCCAAGTGAAGGTCGGATCTGCGTCTGAAAAGGCGTTGGTGAAGACTAAAGGAGATGTGGAGGGTGTTTAAGTGGAAAGAATGAACATGCAGTGTTCGATAAGTCATCTACTCTTTGTATATTTTTTTTTACTATTCTGTGGTAGTATGTTTTTCTGATTTCTTGAGAATGAACAATCTGTAATGTATTGTTTGTTGTGTTGCTCTTTGAATTTGATGGTATCTGACACTGCTTTGTGAATTAAATGATGATTTTTTTTTAGAAATCATTATTCCTTGTCATTAATCATACCTCTCTGATCTGATCCTGTGTTCATATGGTTGTGACAACACCTTTGAGATTTGATATTTGGCTACTATATCTGTGATGACACATAATTCGGATCTGAGAATGCGTTTGTATGTCTGTGAGTACACTTGTTTGTAATATGAATTTTTGTTGATATGACTGTGATGACGGAACTTGTGATCTGAGATTTGGGTAGCATATCTATAATGACACATATATGTGATCTGAGATTGTGTGAGCATTTCTGTGATGACACTTATTTGTCATTTGAGTTTGTGTTGATATGGCTGTGATGACACAACTTTGATCTGAGATTTGGCTAGCATAAATGTGATGAATATGTGCGATCTCATATTGTGTGAGCATTTCTGTGATGACACTTGTTTGTGATTTGATCTTGTGTGAGCTTGTGAGTGATGACACTTTTTCGTTATCTGAGCTTGTGTTGATATGGCTGTGATGACACAACCTTGATCTTATATTTGGCTAGCATATTTGTGATGACACATATGTGTGATCTCAGATTTCGTGAGCATTTCTGTGATGACACTTGTTTGTGATTTGAGCTTGTGTGTGATGACACTTGTTTTTGATCTGACATTTTGTTAGTATGTCAGTGAGGACACATGTGTGTGATGACACTTGATTCTTATTTTAGATTGTGTTCATATAGCTGTGATGACACATTTTTGTGATCTGCTATATAGTCATGTGATCTGGTTTGTGATCGGCTTAAACTTGCAAGTGTACAAGTGCCGATGTAGTAATAAAATCCGGTAAGAATACCGAGTCGAACACAAGGAAACGTTGTTTATATGATTCAAAGATTGAGAATATAATTTGTAAAAGACTTGGTAAAAGAGTAAAGATTTTTGGTTTTTCAAGTGATAATAAAAGCAACCAAGGGTTCGGGATTACTCCTAAACGACTCCTAGCGATTAATGTATATTCTTTCACCAATTCTTATGAGTGGAATGTCGCTAAAGTATTCTAACTCCTGTTACGGCAGCGAGATTGTGATTAATTCTACGTGTGAATCCCGTCACGGTTCACATTCATCTAAAATTAACCCCATTGAAGATTAGGACATTATTACAACCACCATATTCAATTGAGGTATATTTCTATCCACAATTAGAATATGTCTAGCCTTTAAGTGCACGGTTTATAACTCAATGTTAATTGCTCAAATAAACCCAACGATATAATCATACGTTGTACACCGTAGTCATACACATTAAAATATAAAGGAAAGATCATAATAATTTGGTTGAGAACATACATCAAACACCTAGAGTGCGTAAAGTTTCATCCCTAACCTTGGCTATGGAAAATTAGCTAGAACAACTCATAATGAAATTACAGGTATTGAAATGATGAAATACAATGAAATACATAAAAAGATAATACCACAACTCCAAGCTATGGTGGACAATGGAATCCCCAATGGTGGAACTTCACCCAAGACCAAGGGGTTGATCTTGGAGTGCTAAAGTGTAAGTAAAGTGTATGGAATATGGAATAATCACTTGAGAGGGCTTCCATATGCTTAAATATTGGGTCTTCAACGGCCATTTTTGGACAAGGAAGCAAGCTCCTTAATGGGGTTTGGAGCTTCTCTCGAATGATTGTGATGACCGTTGCCTGTTTTAATCAGTGCCAGACGAAAACCGGGCGACATTCGCAAAAGCCGGGCGGCTTTTGCGCGTTTAAAATAGCCTGCCTTCGCTCCAGGGCCCGAAAACCGGGCGTCATTTATAAAAGCCGGGCGGCTTTTGTAATTTAATTCTGAACAATTCATTCGGCGACCAAAAGTCGGCCGGGTTTTACGAAAGCCGGGCGGCTTTCGTCCTTTCTTGCTCCGGATCAGTTTTTCCAGTTTTGGACGCGAAAATGAGCTTGGGGACCAAAGGCCGGCCGCCTTTGGCATAAACCGGGCGGCTTTCGTCCGTCTTGGGCCTTTTTGTGGTCTTTATTTGTTCCTCGGGATGCGTTTGGTTGACCTTTTTCCGTCGGTTTCTTCGTGTGTATTCTACCATCCTTGTATTTGATCCAATCATTGATTTAGAACACTTCTAGCAAAACGAGGCAGATGTGTGAAGATTTTATTCTTTTTACACATGAAAGCGTTTTAAGGTGAATATATAAAACACGTTAATAAAACGCTTATCAAATACCCCCACACTTGAGCTTTGCTTGTCCTCAAGCAAAATTCAAAACTTTCTATGAAAATATTAAGGCAAAACCTTAAGAAAAGTTTCTTTTGAAAAAGGGTTTGAAGGACAAGGGTTTTGCTAAAAAAAATTTCAAAAAAATGGACCAAAAATGAACAAATTTTTCAAGTATAAAGTCACCCCCCACACTTATTCCACATTGTCCCAATGTGAAGCACAAGAGTAATTAAATGCAAAGCAAGAAAATAAGCAATCAAACAACACATAATAGGCACAAAAGTAGCACAAGGAGTTTAAAGAAAAACAAAGAAAAGGTGGTTCAAGTTTAGTATTTTTAGTACACTTCCCTTTTCATAACCTACTCATCCCCTTCATTTCCATCTCCTTGGGGAGGGAAATAAAAGTGCGGGTCATAAGGTGGCGGTGGTGGAATGCTGAAGTGCCGCCCTAACTCTTGGCAATAGTAGTTCATGTTCCAAAGATGACTCCCCATGCCTTCAATAGCCCGCCGTTGGTCCCGCAAATCCCGCCGATGAACCGCAAGCTCCGTATGAATTTGACCAAATTGTTCGGTCAAATAGTCCATGTCGTAATGAGTTCCGGCTTGAGGTACGTGAGCCGCCTCCTCATGGTGCTCCTCATGGCCTCCCTCGGTCTCTCCACCTTGGGCTTCTCCTCCTTCCATCATTTCTTCTTCATTTTCTTCCGGCACGACTCTATGGAATCTCTCCACGCACCTCCATGGTCCTCCGTGCGGCGGTTGGACATAGCGAAGGTGTATCATGGTGTTATGAAATATCCTCCATTGTCCCCAAATATATTTACTTTTAAGTGAATAATGTATTGAACCTTATGAAATGGTTAATGAATCTACGAAGTTGTGAATTTTTATCAATGTTTTTGCGTGAATAGTAAATTCGCACGTGGGGCCCACACCAGGAGTGGGGACCGCCCGATATTCTGGAGACCATATATTTTATTCATCTTGGTCTAGATAATATTTATATGGTGGTGGATATTTCATTTGGGCCATGGAAGGGCCCAGAGTTGACCGATTGGTCAGTTGAGGCCCAATTACCAATATTGGTAAGTTAACAGATAACAGCCCGAAATGAATTTCGGAGGCTTATAAATTAAAGTTGAGGAATGTATAATCATTCTAAATGTCATTATGATTAAGAGCACATAATATATTTTATTTGACCCGATAAAATAAAATATATTTAAAACAGTACGAAAAATACAACTTTCGGGACCGATTGTACACATCGGGACACAAAGGGATGACCTCCCACATGAGTGGGGGCTACCCCACGTTTTTGTGTGCTAGAGTAGACAAATGTGAGGCTGTTTGACTTGGAAGGAGAGAGGTGAGGTGATGAGCATCAAAGGTACACCCATGACCCCATTTTCCTCATTCATTGGTCCAAACAAGACAAAAGTCACCCATCCACTCTCACCACCTCCATTCATTTGACCACCACCCTTCAATCAAGAGAAAACCTCCCAGAAATCTACATTCTTCATAGCCAAACTCGTGCTCCAACTCAAACAAGAAAGAAGAAAGGAGTTTGAGGAAGAAAAAGGGAGGAAAAAGCGTGTTGATTAAGGTAATGACCTTATATTAAGTTTTTCCTCTATTCATTAACTACCATATGACTTACATAGCATATGAGGAATCCTTATAGTAGCTCTACATTTTTATAAATGTACAAGGAAGGGTTGAGGGGGAGTTCCAAGTCCAAGAACGGACATAGGAGCCAAAATAACCGGTTCGCCGAAAAATAACCTTTTAGAGGTTATTTGTATTAATATGGGTTTTATGATTATAAAACCTTGTTAGGAACTTGTATAAGGTATATCAAGAGCTTTCACGGAGTTGAAAGAGTTTCCGGAGTTGTCGCCGGAGTTCGTCAAAAGTCACCGGAGTTTCGCCGGAGTTCAACAAAGAGGGGTAGAATTTCATAGCGTTAATTCGAGGTAAGGATGACCGACTATATTTGTGACACCCCGAAAATTTATATATATA